AAAGAGAGAGTCTCCAAATATATTAAGTTTATTTGGGAGTATACAGGGGATTTGCAAATTCAGAATATTCAGGCTTCCTTTCTTTCTTGACAATAACTATATGGTATTTTCTATAGCAGGACTGGATAGATAATTCAGTCTTTCCTCTAACGTGATTGATCAAAATTAGTTTTTTATTAGTGATGGTTTTGAATTTTTTTTCCTTCAGTTTTGCAATTCATTATTGGTAAGGTTATTTACATCTTAACGATCATTAAATTTGGGATAACCTCTATCAAGTTTCTTACATATGTGAGCTATAATATTTGGAAGAATTTTCCACAGACTTAGTTTCTTGCTTCATACATTTCAAAGCTTATTTATTCTCCAACACCCTTGCATTCCTAAGGCAGAGCATTATATGATCTCTGATTTAGCAACTTCATTTCACAGCACTTGGGGAAACAGCAAAGTGAGCATTAGGAGTATTCATGGAAGTCATTCATGGACACCTAGCAATAATATCACTACACTTGCAAGGAGCCAGAACCCCAAAAGTATATCCGCCCCCAACCCAAAACTCAAATCAACCTTCCCTTAGCTAAATTCCAAAATGCCGGTGGCCACCTGACATGAAGTGAGGTGTAATGGAAAAGAGATCAGGAGTAGAAAGAGAAAGCAGTCTGAACCGTGGTTAAAATATCTTACATTTGCAAAATTTTCAAAAGTTTTAAACATACAACGTAAAATTTACCATCTTAATCATTTATAAGTGCAACATTATTGTGCAACAGATTTCCAGAACTGAGGGCCACCATATTGCAGCAGGACAGTAATGATGACACTGAAGATGTTTTGCTGTTTGATGAAGAAGAGGAGACAACTAATAGACCAAAAACCTCCAAAATCAGACATCCAGTGGCATTATTTTTCCATTTATTCTTTCAAGTCAGTGCAATTATAGTCTTATCTTCTCTGTGAATTGCTCAGCAGCAGCTTTATTGCCTGCATGGTGACAATTATCTTATTGTTGTCATGTGACTTTGGGGCAGTAAAGAATGTCACAGGTAGACTACTGGTTGGCCTACGCTGGTGGAATCATATTGATGAAGATGGAAACAGCCACTGGGTGTTTGAGTCCAGAAAGGCATCTACTCAAGAGAATAAAAGTGTTTCAGAGGCTGAGTCTAGAATCTTTTGGCTACAACTTATTTCCTGTCCAGTGCTGTAGGTGATATTTGCCTTCAGGGCTCTCTTCTCTTTCAGAGTGAAGTAGTTGGCAGTGGTTATCATGGGTGTGGCGCTACAAGGTACCAACCTATATGGATACATCAGATGTAAAGTGGGCAGCAGAAAGAATTTAACCAGCATAGGCCAGCCCGTGGCTCACTCGGGAGAGTGTGGTGCTGATAACACCAAGGCCATGGGTTCAAATCCCACATGGTGGGGCCGGCCCGTGGCTCACTCGGGAGAGTGCGGTGCTGATAACACCAAGGCCCGGGGTTTGGATCCCATATAGGGATGTCCGGTTAGCTCATTGGGTGAGCGTGGTGCTGACAACATCAAGCTAAGGGTTAAGATCCCCTTACCGGTCATCTTTAAAAAAAAAAAAAAATCCCACATGGTGATGGCCGGTTAGCACGTTGGATGAGCGTGGTGCTGACAACACCAAGTCAAGTGTTAAGGTCCCCTTACCGGTCATCTTTTTAAGAATTTATCCAGCATGGCTATCTTGTATCTTGGAACGCAGCTTTTAAGACAAAACACTGGAGAGGATCAGAGTTCCTGAATAGAGAGGGGAAGCTTATGTGTTCTGTTACGTTGGGGAGCAACTGAAGAGATTCTCGGCCCTGAACATTTTAGAGCTCAGTCCATGTTGCAAAGAGTCTTGGGTTTGTTTTTCCACTGAAAAACTTTATTTAAAAAAAAGAAAAAGTAGGGGCCGGCCCGTGGCTCACTCGGGAGAGTGCGGTGCTGATAACACCAAGGCCCCGGGTTCGGATCCCATATAGGGATGGCCGGTTTGCTCACTGGCTGAGCGTGGTGCTGACAACACCAAGTCAAGGGTTAAGATCCCCTTACCGGTCATCTTTTAAAAAAAAAAAAAGAAAAAGAAAAAGTAGTTTTCATATTAAGTTTTTATTTTCTTTCTGGCAGTTGGGTCAGTTTCTTTCTAGAAAGTTTAGTTGGTATCACTAGAAACATCGTCAAAATTTATTTTATGGTGTACATATATATGCACATAGTCATGTAATATCAGTATATCCCAAATTAATGAAACTTTTGTGTTCATTTACATATGTAATGGAGACCTTTGCATTTTGATCCATAGAACATAGGATGATGTTCTTAGTCTGTCTCAAAACTCTGTTTACATATTATTTCTGTAGATTATTTTCAAAAGTAAGTTTTTTTTTTTTTTTTTTTTGAAAGATGACCGGTAAGGGGATCTCAGCCCTTGGCTTGGTGTTGTCAGCACGACGCTCAGCTAGTGAGCAAACCGGCCATCCCTATATAGGATCCGAACCCGTGGCCTTGGTGTTATCAGCACCACACTCTACCGAGTGAGCCATGGGCCGGCCCTTCAAAAGTAAGTTTTGCATCCATCCTTGGTAAGAGTGAGCACTTTGGCTTATGTATAAGTTAGAAATAATTGTTAGTTTTAATACATGGTGAAATTTTTTTTCTTAGACATAAACAAGCAAGTAAAAACAAAATTTGGGGGCCGGCCCGGTGGCGCACTCGGTAGAGTGCGGTGCTTGGGAGCACGGTGGCGCTCCCGCGGAGGGTTTGGATCCCATATAGAGACCGGTCCGCTCACTGGTTGAGCGCAGTGCGGGCGTGACACCAAGGGTTGCGATCCCGTTGCCGGTCATGAAAAAAGACAAAAAGGAAAAAAAAAAAAAAACCAAATTTGGGCCAGTGGTGTTAACTAGTTTCTAAAATTTTGTTTATTTTTATTTTTATTTGTAACAAATCATTTACTTAATCCCCAATTAATATAAATGGAATCATCATAGTTTATGTTTAAGGGATACCCAGAGATTGCTGTGGTCCTATTTGTTTTATGGAAAGGATAGCCAGATTTTACTTTGGAACTTTCTGGAAGCTCCTCAGTGGTCCTTGGGCTAATAAAATCTCTCTTTTACCACTAAAAGAGTATTGTTCTGTGTCATAATAAGAATAATCATTTAAATAGTTGGCATAATAAAGGTCTGAAAGACATTTTATTTGATGAATCTATTTTTTTCTTTTTTTTTTGCTATAAGGGGGGTATTGTAAATCATGAATTTGTATTAATGATCTTTCTTCTAACAAAGCAATATATGTAACTGCAAACTAAACCACTCTATAAACAGTTGAAGGCATCTGTAAATTCTGTTGTAGTTACTGTAAACTTTGTTGGAGTCCTTTAATCCTCAAATTGTCTTGTGAATATATTTATACATTGTTAAAATTTTTTATAGATGTTTTGTTTCATTTGAATAGATATCTTTACTAGAGTGATAGCTGTGAAGGTGTATAACTTTACATTGGTATAAAATTCTACTGTTTACAAATAAAAAATAAAAAACAGATTTCCAGAACTTTTTCATCGGGCAAACCTGCTCATTTTTACTTTTGCAAATTTCATAAAAATATATAATCCCATGCAAGTGATGGGTCCTAAACCTTAAGCTTCATGCGCTTTGTGGTAAATCTGCTCCTGCCAAGGGCAGATTTGAGTCTTCTTGGAGTACTCCAGGGCCTAGCCTTGGACATCATGCACAGTAGGAAATAAAGGTTGCATTAAATTCTCCAGGAGGGAGAGCCATTAGATAGTATCAGGTGCAGAGGTTTTAACCTTCTCATGGAGTCCTGGGACTCTGAGGTGGTATCTCAGTGGCTACTGTTGGGAACTACTATATAACTCCTCCCCGCCCCCCACTACTTGAAACATGGAGCACCTCTGTTTAAATGATGATGATGACACTAATAGTCATCATTCAAGCTGACATGCATTGGGCACTTTACTATATGACAGACACTATTCTAAGAACCCTGCTTGGATTAAGTACTTAATCCTTAACTATGTAGCTGGAACTATCATTATCCCATTTTACAGATAAGGATACTGAGGCTCAAAAAGTTTCAGTTTTATATATCAAGGTTCCATATAAGATACCTTTTTTAAAAAAATTGATCTACTAATAACAAGTTTTGAAAAACCCTGAATTAGTCTAAGCTCTCTATTTTACACATGGGGAAGTAAAACTCAGAAAAAGGGTTTCATTTGCTCGGTACTACACATTTATTCTTCCATTATTTCCTGGATGCCCACTCTGTGGCAGGTACTGTGCTATGACCTATGGATTCAAAGGTCAACAAGATGCTCATGGAACATAATTTTAGTGGGGCCAATGGACAATATATACAACAAGAAATAAATAAGCAAAATAATTCCAGAGAGAATGAGATGATAGATTTGGTGAGATGTGATGAATGGCCAAGAGGGAACTATGTGTGCAAAGGCCCTGAGGCAGGAGTACTTTGTTAGTAATAGAGCAGATTCCTGGTCCAGTGCTCCTTCACCACTTGCTGCCTCTGTAGTCCCTCAGAGTGGTTCCTTTGGTGTCCTGGGCCTCCCTCTAAGGTGCCAACTTATCTAGGAAGGCAGCAGCTCTCTGAGGCTGTGGGTCTGCCTCCCAGAAGCCCTGTGGCTAAACCGGATCTGAGTTTCCCAGTTCCTGTCTGGCTGGGGGTGAGCAGACATCTTCTCCGCCTTCTCTCCTCAGTCTCCAGCCCAGGCCCCAAATCTCCATGGCAACCCCTAGACACAATCCTGACCCAAAGGAGGAGGATCTGGAACGGGGAACACAAAGATCATAGTGAAGAGACCAGAGGAGCTGGCGGACTTGCCTTCCCCTGCTCCTTGTGTCCTGCCAGCCTCCCCGCTGGCCTGGCCAGGCCCCGACACCCGACTCTCCCCAAAGGCCCCAAACTGAAGAATCTGCCTCATTGCTGGGCACAGCAGAGCCTAGATGGAGGCTTATCTTCTGCAGCTGTTCCAAAGGCTGCTGCTGCTGGGGGCAGTCACCCTGGCTGTGTCTGCTCTGGAGACAGGTAAGTATGAGGGGGCTTGGATGGGGCACCCCAGAATCTCAGGCTCCCACCACCCTTGGAGACTGTGTTTCCCCACAATCAGCATTCACCCTGACAGGCTGGGACCCCTAGAGTTGGGGGAGGCTGGGAAACCCTGTGCCAGTCTTGCTTGCTACCCCCAAGTCCACCCCAAACCTTCTGTAAGGCTAGAGCTCCAACTCACCCAGAAGCAGGGATCAGGAGGTGGGAGGGTCAGCCCTCAGGTCTGGCAATGGAAAATACTGTGGGCTTTGGAGTCAGACAGTGCTGCATTCACACACTTACTCTGCCACTTCCCGCATTTGTATCCTTGAGATCATTGTTTTAACTCTCATTGTTTCAAGTCTCAGTTTCTTCAGCAGTAAAATGAGAATAATAATAGCTCCTTGCCCCTTAAGGGACTATTATTGTGCATATAAGATGAGAGAAACCACACAGGACACGTAGTGCCTGACACAAAAAAGGTGCCCAACTCACTCTCTAAACTCCACCCCTACCTTGTGCACCTCCGGGGCAGGCTCTGGCTTTAGTAGGTCTGCACAAATATGGCACAATGCTCCCACATTCTAAGCCCTGATGAAGAATCTCTTCCCCAAAGACCCACATCCTGGCTGGTCCTCAAGCACCACTGGTGCCCCTACTTTGTACCAGAAAACCCACCTCCTCTTCTTTCTCTGTCCTTAAAAAAATCAGAGCTAGTTTGAGCACTTGGACGTTATCTTATTTGATCCCCACAACAACCCTGTATCAGTGAGGATGTTTTGGGCTGTAAGTAACAGATATCAAGCTAAATGAGGCTTAAACCATTAGTTCATTTATTATTTCACTTAAGAAGAGTAGCTGTAGGTGATTCCAGAGATGGAATCTCTACATTCAGCAGCTCAACCATATTAGCATTTCTCTGTAATTTCTGTGTAAGGCTCATGACCTCATCTTTGCAAGATGGCTGCTGCCGCTGTGGCCATCACGTCCTTAGTCAACAGTTTCCAAAAGCAGAAAGAAAAGAGGCTCCTCATCACACAGCTCTCCCTCTTTTTTTAAAAAATTAATTAATTAATTTTATTTTATTTTATTCTTTTTAAAGATGACCGGTAAGGGGATCTTAACCCTTGACTTGGTGTTATCAGCACCACGCTCTCCCAAGTGAGCTACAGGCTGGCCCAGGGCTAAATTTTTCCAGTAACTTCCAGCAGATCTCTCCTTAAGTTTCAGTGGCCAGAACCAGGTCATGTGCCAATCCCTAAACCTGGCAAATAAAATTAGAGTTACAGGCCTTTTTTTTTTTTTTTTTGGCAGCCAGTCAGTATAGGGATCGAACCCTCGACCTTGGTGTCCAGGACTCGAACCCAGCACCATGCTCTGACCAACTGAGCTAACCTGCCAGCCCAAGGCTTGGTTCTTTTAGCAAGAAGAAACAGGGAATGGCTGTTGGGTGGATAGGCACCCGAATGTGTCTACCCCATCTTTCAATAATTTGATAGTTAGCTAACACTTCTTTTTTGTTTTGGCTGTTGGCTGGGGCAGGGATCTGAACCCTTGACCTTGGTGTTACACCACCGTGCTCTAACCAATGCTCTAACCAACTGAGCTAACTGACCAGCCCAGTAGCTGAGGTTTCCATAATACTCATTAAATGCTAGGCACTGTCCTAAACCTTGTACCCACACATGTCCACAAACCTTTAGTTGTAATTCCAAAATGCAAAAAAGTTCTGAAAACCAGTGTTCTTTTTTTTTTTTTTTTTTTTGTTTTTTGTTTTTTTCCGTGTCCGGCAATGGATCGCAACCCTCAGTGTTGCCCCCGTACCGGACCGGGGGTTGACCTGAATTGACGGGAGGCTGTTTATTGTCTTTATTTGCTCCATTTAGGGTAAATGTGTTCATACAATTGCTCTAGAGATTGTGTTTGATCTTGGAGAGCTGCTGCAGACTCAATTTCGGATATATTGTACACCATATTTCTAAAATCTGGAAAATTCTGAAACACATCCTAGGGCTTTTGAATAAGGGATTGTGGACTTCAGTCATTTAATCTTCAAAAATTCTGAGATTGCTTAATCACCCTCATTTTACTGATGAGGAAACTGAGGCTCAGAGAGGGTGAGTGACTTGCTGGGGGTCACACAGAGAGCAGGGGGCAGGGTCAGGTTTGGAACGTGGCTCCAGGATCCGTGCTTTTCGTTGCAGCTGACCTGGTGGAGCTGTGCGGGCAGACGTGGCACGGGGACGGTCACATAGAGAGCAGGGGGCAGGGTCAGGTTTGGAACGTGGCTCCAGGGTCCGTGCTTTTCGTTGCAGCTGACCTGGTGGAGCTGTGCGGGCAGACGTGGCACGGGGACGGGCTGCTGCTGCGATCGCACTCCGCGTCGCGCAGGTTCTACTTGGTGGCTCCGGACATCGACTGCTGGCTCTGGGTGCGGGCGGCGGCCCCTAGCGACTGGATCCGCTTCCAGTTCCGCTTCTTCCTGGTCTACAGCCTGACCCCGGCGTCCCCAGCGCCTCCAGCGCCCAACTCCTCCTCCCCGGCGGACCCGTGCGCCCCCGGCTCCTACCTGCAGTTCTACGAGGGCCCGCTGGGGGCGCCCCGGCCCCTGGGGACCCCTCTCTGTGGCCTGACCATCCCCGCCCCCGTGGCATCCTCCGGACCCTTCCTAGGACTGCGCCTGGTCACGAGAGGCCGCCAGCCCCGCGTGGACTTCCTGGGCGAAGTCACCTCTTTCCGGTTGGGTGGGTTGGGGCTGAAGGCCAGGACAGGGCCTTTATAGAGAGGGGGGCAACTGCGAGACTGGCCCAGCCCACGAGCTGCTGAGAGCTGGGGAATGGTGGGGGCAGTGGGAGCACAAAAAGATGGAGGGGCCTGGGTCCTAACAGAGGGAAAGAGGTAGTGACTGGTGGCATGGTTAGGGGGTCACAGTAAGGGACGTTGCAGACCCAAAGAGCCAACCCCATAAATCTGGTTTCCATGCACGTGTGTAGCAGACTGGGCTACCAGCTCCTGGTACTCCTGCACAACTCCCACGCATATACACACCTCCCACTAACGCGCACACACACACCTTTACACTCACACAATTCACACACACCTCATGCACACTTACAACCCATTCACACACTCTCACATTCACACACTGTCTCCTTCGTCCTGGGCCAGCCCTTCAGATGTTTATAGAAGTGATGTTTAGGATTCCTGTGATTGTAAGTAACAGAAACCCACTTATGCAAAGAAAAGGACCTCTTGGAACTGCAATTAGTAATACTCATTTATGAAGCATCGCCTTTGGCCCTTCGCATGACAGATCTCATGTATGCCTCACAGCAACCCTGCCATGCCAGTATTCTTATCCTCATATTTATAGGTGGGGAAACAGGCTCAGGGAAGTTAAATGCCCAAGGCCTCCCTGCTCATAAGTAAAGCAGCTGAGCTTCAATGCTGAAGTATGTTCTTCAGCTCAAATTGAGTTCAAGGCTTTAGCCCCAGCAGGGCAGGAGCCACTTGCTGATATTGCAGCAGAGGCTGTCTCCAGAGATGGCAAGCAGATGAGCTGCCAAAGCCCAGAAGATTCCAAAACCACAGAGAAGCTTTATCTCAGTCTCTGGCAAATATCCAGACTGGAGAATTAAACATGGGATTGTGAGCACTTAAGGCAAGAACATGGGAGTCTCTGAGAACCAACACAGGTTCATCAGGACTTGGCATGCCAAGCCATGGACAGCCCTTTAAGACTGAGCTGGTCAGAGAGTCCCCGTGCCGTGTCATTTGTCTCTTTAGTCAAGTCCCACCTTTCTTCCCTGGAATTGTGCAAGGTCTGAATTTTGGATTTTAGACTCTCTTCTCTATTACAGTCTCAGGCTCTGGGATAAACTATTTGAAATTTGTACTCTAAATCCTTGGGGCCACAACTGATTGTGCCTGGGGTCCCCCTTTCTGGGTCCTGTAGGCTGCAGCACACCAAAGTTCCTATTATGTTGTCTTGCAAACAGTTCTCACTAGTTGATCAGAAATCACCTTCCTTCCCCCCTCTTGTTCTCCCTCCCTCCCTCCCTCTCTTCTTTTCTGTGGCCTCATTGGAGGTACAGCTCTGAGCCAGGGAGGTGAAGACTGTTGCAGCTGCTCTGTGTTTACCAGGATTGGGCTCCAAAAAGGAGATGGGAGTGGTGAGGCCCTATCACAACTCTGGCTTCTTTCAGTTTTGTCATCTGAATGAGGAAAAGTTCATTTCATATCCTCGGACCCCATGCACTGTCTCTCTTTTTTTTTTTTTTTAAAGATGACCGGTAAGGGGATCTTAACCCTTGACTTGGTATTGTCAGCACCACGCTCTCCCAAGTGAGCTAACCGGCCATCCCTATATAGGGATCCGAACCCGTGGCCTTGGTGTTATCAGCACCACACTCTCCCAAGTGAGTCACAGGCTGGCCCTTGGAGAATTTTGGAGGGACTCCAATAACTGGAATATTAAGGTGTTGGGTCAGGTATAGCTGGATCCAGGTAATGTCATCAGAGCTCCTTCTCTTTGGTCTCTTTCTCTGTCTTTACACTGTGTGGGTCTGTTTGGCTTCCCAAATTCAGGCAGCTCCTCTTTTTACTTGGCAGCAAGATGACCCTGCAGCTCCAGGCCTGGTCTCCCTTATGGCTCCAATCTCATGACATAGAAGGCAAACATCTTTTCTTATGGCTCTAGCTTGGGGCCAAATTTAATTAGTCACGTGGGTCATGTGTCTATTCCTGTGACCAGGAAATGGAATGCTCTGATTTGCCAGGCCCGAGTCCCATGTCCACCTCTGAGCCATGCTGTTGGTCAGTCCCACCTGAACTAGCTTTTCTTCCACAGAATGGAATGCTGGGTAAGCCAACCTGTCTGCCACATACTGTGCACTGAGTCATACAATTCTTTTTTTTTTTTTTAAAGATGACTGGTAAGGGGATCTTAACCCTTGACTTGGTGTTGTCAGCACCACGCTCAGCCAGTGAGCAAACCGGCCATCCCTATATAGGATCCGAACCCGTGGCCTTGGTGTTATCAGCACCGCACTCTACTGAGTGAGCCACGGGCCGGCCTTGGGTTTTGTTTTTGTTTTTCCTTTTTTTTTAATTGGCTCCTGTCAGGGGATTGAAACCCCCACCCCCACCCCCACCCCGATCTCCAAGGTGGCAGGCAGGGATACTCACCACGAGGAGGATGTGCTGTTCTCATAGGAGGTTAGGGAAGGCCTAAGGTTAAGGTAACATTTGAGTGGCGATCTGAAGGGAGGGAGCCATGCAGTTACCAGGGGAAGAGAGTTCCAGGCGGAGTTAATGGCAAGTGCAAAGCCATGAATGAGTGAGGGTTTGCTTGGAGTGTACTGGGATACTGTAGGTGCACGTGCACACACGTGCAGACACACATGCACACCCACTGTGTGCCATGATATTTATGAACACAGGCTCCAGAAACAGCCTGCCTGGGACTTGGATACAGCTGTGTGGCCTTGGCAAGTGATCTAACCTCCCTGTACTTCAGTCTTCTTTTATCTAAAATGGGGTTAATAACAGTATTTACCCCATAGGGTTGTTGTGAGGACTAAATGAGATGGGAAGTGAAGTGTTTAGAACCGTGCCTGGCACAGAATAGGAACTCGATAAATGTCAGCTGCCATCATCACCACACCTCTTTCCCCACAAAGCACCCCTCATACTCTTGTCTGTATGCACATGATGACAGCTCCCTCCTGCTCACACTTCCCACACCCTCTCATTATAGGGCCACACGCCCTGCTGTGTCATGGGACTGATCCAGCGTCCTCATCTTAGGCTTCTCCTTTCAACCCCAGGATCTTGTGGTGCCTACTTTCGCTGTCGGAATGGCAGGTGCATTCCTCCGAGCCTGGTGTGTGATCACTGGGGCATGGACAACTGTGGCGATGGCAGTGACCAGGGCTCCTGGCCACCAGCTGACTGCAGAGGTCAGTGATGGGTGTGGCCTGGGCCCTATCACCCCTTCCCTGGGGCAGAGCCTCAGTGGGGAGGTGGGAGGCAGTGGCACAGCAGGAGAGAGATAGGTGACAGTACAGCAGTGAGGAATCAGTTTGGATCAAGGACCTGAGGGTCAATGCAGTTACAGCTAGAATGATGCTAGAAATGATCTAATCCAGCTATTTCCAAATGATAGTTTAGTGATGGAAACTTTTCCTAAATGGGACCAGGCACAGAGGCCCAAGATATCAAAAGGAAAGATGTTCTGCTTAACTGGACTTAAGGGGTATTGGGCTCCGGCTGATTTATGTCTCTTTAAGGGTCCTGATTATCACCCTCAAGACATAATTTGACAACCATCAATCCAGTCTGACTCCCAAATTTTACAGATGGGAAAACCAAGGCCTAGAGAGGAGAAATAGCTTGCCCAAGGTCATAAAGCCAGTGAGTGACATGAGCAGGAACACCCTCTGTGGACAGAGGGGACCAGGGTAGATCACCCAGGAATAACCTTCTTGGGGATCTGGAGACATCCCACACCCATCTCCCCAATCAGGAGTGGGATGGAGGCAGGGCTGCCATGTACAGTTCATAGCCAAATAGCACCTAGCTGAAGTGAAACCCAGCTTCCCAGGACCCCGCACATTTACCTTCCCAAACCACTGCTCAGCCTCCTCTGCAGGTTCCTGGTTATTTCCCTGACACTCTGTGTTTTCTGCCATGAAGCTCAGTTCCTTTGTTCCCTTCCCCTTCATCCACGCTCATTCCCTTGGTGGTCTCATCTATATTCTATTGCTAGCTTGGTGGTCTCATCTATGTTGGAGTCATCTTTGAACTCTAGTCACATAATCTCCTCCATACCCAACATCTCCAGGTAGATGTGTAGGCGGCATCGCAAACTTAACTTGTCCCAAATTGAACTCATGATCCACAGCCCTCCCCATCCTGCTCCTCAGCAGTACCCCCTTCTCACTAAGCAGCAACTTCACATCCCAGTTGCTCAGGCCCCAGACTCTTGAGTTACCCTTTACTACTTTCTTTCTTTCTCTTAGCCCATAATCAAGTCATCAACACGTCCTTCGAAAGTTCCCCAGACCCTGACCCTTCTCACACCTGCTCTGCTGCTATCTCCCAGTCTGACCTACCAGCTCTGGTTTAGATTGTTTTGATAACTTTTTTTTTTTTTAAAGATGACCACTAAGGGGATCTTAACCCTTGACTTGGTGTTGTCAGCACCACGCTCTCCCAAGTGAGCGAACCGGCTCG